CTTGCAGGGTCGCGTGCACGTGGACGGTGCTCAGGCAGCCGGGGACCTGGCGCGAGCGCGTCAAGGCAATCCCACCAGCCCTGTGGGCGCGGGTGTTTCAGCGGTGCACCCCTTCCGCCTCCCCCATTCGACTCGCCGCCAACCTGGAACAACGTGGCTCCTCCCATCACCAGCCCTGTCAAAACAAAACACTAAAGCACATGTTGCTGCAACATCTGGACGTTAGCCAGAGTGGACGCAAAGCTATGTCTGCTAGCAAGATAGGCTGTGCAATCTATGTGGAGCACTAAATGTTGAACAACATAGGTGGAGCTACAAATGTGGTGCAATCTACGTGGCGCAGTAATTGCTGTGCAGTATATGTTGTGCAATACATGTTTTGCAATGGATGATGTGCACTTTCTGAGGTGCGATGTATGTGATGCGATCTATGTGGTGAAGCCTACGTGGAGTAATATAGGTGGTGCTCTCTACGTGGTGCGATCTACGTAGTGTAGTATGTGTACAAGATACGTGGTGCAATATATGTGGTACAATCGATGTGGTACATTGTATGGCGTGCAATACATGTGGTGCAATCTATGTCGTGCAATATTTACGGGCGGCGACGGCAACCACATAGCCGACCAACGGGCAGGCCCAAACGACGGGAGGCGACGAGGCGGCGACGGGGCGGCGACGGCGACCACATAGCCGCCGGACCGACGCGCAGGCCCAGACGACGGGCGGCGACGAGGCGACGACGGGGCGGCGACGGCGACCACATAGCCGCCAGACCGACGCGCAGGCCCAGCTCCTTCGAAAACAAATGAGGACCCCAAAACGCAAGCACGTTGTGGGAAATCATGATATACATTGCTGCAACATCTGGATCATGAGCTGGCAACCCAGAATCACTTTGCACCAGTTTGTTCACATGGACCGCTGGAGTGGGATCATGTTTGCCCGCTGCACTCTGACCCACGATCACTATGATGGAACAATGCTGCGTACCTCGTTGCTGGTGCACACAGTGTACCCCATGCTATCCCCCCGCGGAGTCAACAGATTGCCTGATCAGGGCTGGCACGTGCACTGGAGCACCTGGCGTGGCTGGAGCACCTGGCACACTTGGCGCACGTGGAGCACGTGGCGCATTTAGCGCATCAGGCTCGCCTGGCACGCCTGGGCCCTTGGGGCACGTGGCGCACCTGGAGCGCGTGTCACACCTGGCACGCGTGGCAAACCTCGAGAGCGTCGCGCACCTGGCATCTGCAAGTGTTTCCGACGGCTGTCCATCCAATGGCGACCTATGCCTGTGCTGAGGCTCGACTGCTACCTGTGGTGGAGGGCGGATTGGAATTAGCAAGACAGCTTGTGGCGTTCCCGTCGAGAATTTGACCTCTGAACTGACCCTGGAGCGGGAAAGACCGAAGTGTCAGAGGGTCCATGTAGGGCCTAGATGGTTCCAAGATGGCACCAGACCAGACACCTCAAAAGGCAAAAAAGTCAAAGACATTCAGTGCCCCAAAGGAGACCAGTAATAGTAGCCCAATTAAGCTTACGATCCCCATGGCAGTTCCCAAATATCCTAGCAAATGTGGATTCCGGGGCTTGAGCCCCCGAAAAATGAATACCAGAAAGCGCATACGCAATGCTCATCATACCTATAGCATGGCAACTTCGTGCCCGTCCCGTTTCCAATTTCCCCCGATACCGTCAGTTCCCCCTTGTCGCTGCTATCACTGACTCCTCCTAATCCTCCTCCTAAGTCCTCGTCCTGCCACCCATCCACTATCCTGCTCCGCCTCCTCCCCCAGAGCTTCCATCACCTCCTCCGACCTCCCTCCTGTTCCCTCCTCCTCCTCCTCCTCCTCCTCCTCCTCATCCTCCCTCTCCTCCTCCTTCTTCTCTTCCGCCTCCTCATCTTGTTCACTCCTCACTCCCCACTCCTCCTCCTCCTCCTCCTCCTCCTCCTCCTCCTCCTCCTTCTCCTCCTTCTCCTCCTGATCATCATCTCATCATCATCATCATCATCATCATCATCATCATCATCATCATCATCATCATCATCATCATCATCATCATCATCATCAGCATCAGCATCAGCATCAGCATCATCATCACATCATCATCATCAGCAGCAGCATCATCATCATCATCATCACCACCACCACCATCATCATCATCATCATCAGCATCATCATCCTCATCATCATCATCACCATCATCATCATCATCATTATAATCAGCATCACCATCATCATCATCATCATCATCGTCATCAACATCAGCATCAGCATCAGCATCAGCATCAGCATCAGCAGCATCAGCAGCAGCATCAGCATCAGCATCAGCATCAGCATCAGCATCATCATCATCAGCATCATCATAAGCATCATCGGCATCATCAGCATCTTCGTCAGCATCACCACCATCATTATCATAATCATAATCACCATCATCATCAGCATCATCAGCATCATCAGCATCAGTATATCATCAGCACCACCATCACCATCGTCATCAGTATCGTCATCATCATTATCAGCAGCATCATCATCATTATCATCAGAATCATCAGCATAACCATTAGCAGCATCATCACCACCACCATCATCATCATAATCATCGTCAGAATCACCATCATCATCATCAGCAGCATCAGCATCATCAGCATCAGCATCATCATCAACATCATCACCACCATCATCGTCATCAGTATCGTCATCATCATCATCAGCATCATCATCATCGTCATCATCATCATCAGCATCGTCGTCAGCATCATCATCAGCATCATCGTCATCAGCATCATCATCAGCATCATCTGCATCATCAGCATCAGAAGCATCAGCATCATCATTATGCTGTTCCTGCTCCTGTTCCTCCTCCCCCCAAGAAATCCTCCCCACTCCTCACCATCACCTTCTCTTCCCTCCTCCCCCCCTCTTCCTCGCACGCCCCTGGCCCGGAACCTTGTTCTCCGCGCACCTTAGCTCCGCTGGAAGGGGCTCGAGCTTCCCGGCCAGCGCCATCAGCTGCTGCGGCGGGGGGCCACGCAGCGTGCAAACCGCGCGCCTTCCTCCTGCTGTTACTCCTGCCCCTCCTCATCCTCCTCCTCCTCCCTCATCCTCCTCCTCCTCCTCCACCTCCTCCTCCTCCTTTTCCTCTTCCTCTTCCTGCTCCTCCTCCTCCTCCTCCTCCTCCTCCTCCTCCTCCTCCTCCGCCTCCTCCTCCTCCTCTCACCCATGTTTCCGCATCCTACTCCTGGTAATCCCTTTCCTGCCTCCTCCTCCTCCTCCTCCTGCTGCTGCTGCTGCCGATGTTGCCTCTTCTGATCCTCCTCCTCCTCCTCCTCCTCCTCCTCCTCCTCCTCCTCCTCCTCCTCCTCCTCTTACCCATGCTTCCGCATCCTACTCCTGGTAATCCCTTTCCTGCCTCCTCCTCCTCCTCTTCCTCCTCCTGCTGCTGCTGCCGATGCTGCCTCTTCTGATCCTCCTCCTCCTCCTCCTCCTCCTCCTCCTCCTCCTCCTCCTCATCATCATCATCATCATCATCATCATAGTAATAGGTCGCACTATTATTGCGATTAAAATTAGTAGTAGAATTATAAGTGGTAGCCTTATCATTATGTGAAATGGTGTTAGTACTTTCTCGTATTGCTAATATTGCTCTTATGTTTAATACTCTTAGTATGTTTATTCGCATTAGTATTATTCCTGGTAGTAGTAGTCTTCTTAGTAGTATTATTATTGATAAAAAATACTATGTTCTTAAGATTATTAATAATATGATTGGTCTGATTCGGTTTGTGAGCATCCTTCTTGTTTGTCGCATTATTGTTTGTATTGTCATGATCAATATTACTGATGTTCTTCTTATTCTTCATATTAATGCATTATCATAACTGTTAGTATTATTATTCTGCGTATGATTAATATGCTGAGTCTTCTTAGTATTACTATCATCCGAATGATTAGTGTAATTAGTATCCTTCTTATGTCTAGTGTTATTATCATTAATAGTATCACTGCTCCGATTGTTCTTCCTATTCTCGCATGACTAGTAGTAGTATTACTAGTTGTTGTGATAATATTATTAAGTATTAGTTGGTGTACCATTATAATTACTACTAATACAATAACTTGTACTATGATGCGTAGTATGACTATTATGTTCTTAGTACGACTCTTTTCCGTCGTATCATTTTATTCATATGAGTGTGACTAGTAATACTGGCATTGTTCTTATTCATAGCATCATTAACACTATCATGACTATTCTGAATATTGTTCTTATTAGTATCACTATTCGTATTTATAGTAGTCTTCAGATTCTTCTTATTCTGTATATTAGTATTCGTAGTCTTCTTCTTCGTATTAAAGTGTTGTGATTATTCTTACTATAATGATTCGACATCTTCTTCTCTTTCATAATATTAGTAGTAGCAGTTTTCTCAGTATCGTTCTTCGTGATTTTGAATAGATATATATAGTATTCAGTTTGATTGGTATTAGTGAAAGTATCATTATTGCTGTTCGTATGCTTCTTATTGTTCATATTATTCTTAATGGTGATAGTATTATTGTGACTATTCTTATGATTACTAGTAGTATTATTATTCTGAATTATTATTATTCCTTCTCCTCCTCCTCCTCCTCCTCCAGCTCCACCTCCTCCTCCTCCTCCTCCTCCTCTTCCTCCTCCTCCTTATCCTACTAATCCTCTTCCTCCTCCTCCTCCTCATCCTCCTCCTCACCACCATCATCATCATAACCATCATCATCATTACCATCATCACCATCATCAGCACCGTCATCATCATCACCATCATCATCACCGATATCATCATCATCATCATCATCATCATCATCATCATCACCATCATCATCATCATCATCATCATCATCATCATCATCATCATCATCACCATCATGATCATCATCGTCATCATCATCATTATGATCATCAACATCATCATCACCACCACCATCATCAGCAGCAGCAACATCAGCTTCATCATCATCATCATCATCATTATCATCATCATGCTCATCATCATAATCATTTTCATCATTCGCCTCCTCCTTCTCCTCCTCTTCCTCCTCCTCCTCCTCCTCCTCATCATCATCATCAACATCCTCCTCCTGATCCTCATCATCATCATCAGCATCATCAGCATCATGATCATCATCATCATCATCAGCAGCAGCATCATCATCGTCAGCAGCATCATCGTCACCATTTTTCTCCTCCTCCTCCTCATCATCATCATCATAGTCCGCCGATCCGGCGTGTGAGTTTGACGGGGTAAAGGGGTGACCGGGGTGGCTCTGCAGGGGTACTGGGAGGGGGGGAAGATCCGGCGGCGTGGGTTCCGGTGGCGTGGAGGGGGGGGTCCGGTCACCCATCCCGCCTGTGACAGGGGGAATTGGGGAAAGGGGGGGGGGGTCCGGTGGCGCGGGTTCCAGTAACGTGGGGGGACGGGTCCGGTCCCCTGTCCCGCCTGTGGACAATGGGAATTGGGGGAAGAGGGAGGGGCAGAGGGGGTTCCGGTGGCCGGGGTGGCTTTGCTGGGGTAGGGTTAAGGGTAGGGGGGGAGGGTCCGGTGGCGGGGGTTCCGGTGGCGCGGGCGGGGGGGGGGTCTGGTCCCCCACCCCGCCTGGAGACAAGGGGAATTGGAGAAACAGGGAGGGGGGGTCCTGTGGCGTGGGTTCCGTGGCGCGTGAGTTTGAAGGCGCCTCAGCTACAGCCTCGAGGGTGAGCTTCAGCCTCTTGGGGGGTTGCCCGGGTGGCTCTGCCAAGGAAGGAGGGAAGGGGGGGGCGCGCGCGCGTGCGCGGGGTAATGTTTGTCCGTGTACGCGAGAAAGGAATCGGGGAAAGAGGGAGAGAGAAGTGGAACGGGACAAGAGCGGAAAACGGGGAACAAATGGGGGAAGAGACGAAGGTGGCGGTGAAATTCGTGTCTGTTGTGTGGTGTGTGTGTGCGTGTGTTTGTGCGGTGTGCGTGGTGTGTGTATGTGTGTGTTGCAGGCGTGTGCGAGCGTATGTGCCTGCGAAAGCGGCGCGCGTGTGTGAATGTGGTGTGTGTGGGGGGGGTGTAGTGTGTGTGTGTGTGTGTGCGTGTGTGTGCGTGTGCGTGTGTGTGTGTGTGCGCGTGTGCGCGTAATGTCTGCGATCGTGTGCGCGCGTGTCTGTCGGCGAAATGTCACCGGCACTGGCCGAAGGCCACTACAAAAAAAAAAAAAAAAAAAAAAAAAACCTCATCATCATCATCATCATCATCATCATCATCATCATCATCATCATATTCACCATCATCTTCATCATCATCATCATCATCATCATCATCATCATCATCACCATCATCATCATCATCATCATCATCATCATCATCATCATCATCATCATCATCATCATCATCATCATCATCATCATCATCATCATCTTCATCATCATCATTACCATGAGCATCATCATCATCAACATCATCATCATCATCCTTCTCCTCCTCCTCCTCCGTCTCCGCCTCCCCCTCCTCCTCCTCGTCGTCCTCCTCGTCCTCCTCCTCCTCCTCCTCCTCCTCCTCCTCCTCCTCCTCCTCCTCCTCCTCCTCCTCCAGTCGTTAACCTCATAGATAACTCATCCCTGTCGCACCCCGAGGCCAGTCGGAAGGGCGGGCCAGTCGTTTCGTCCGACTTTTTCACGACTCATGGCCAAATTGAGCACCGCTTCACGGATTGAGGGCGGCTCCTTTGCAAAATATGGCTGTCGCCCCGCACATTCGTTCAAACAAATTGCAAAGAATTTCACGGTCTTAGGGCAGCTCCTTTTCGAAATGTAGCTCTCGCCTTAGCGCTACGCAAATGTGTTACTAAAAACGCAAGAGTTTCACTGATGGAGGGCGGTCAGTTTTCAAAATGTGGTTCTCGCCTTCGCGCCGCCCACATTCGTTCTGGAAAATTGCAAGAGTTGCTCTGGGTCTCATCGTGAACGTACCAGAAGCTGTGTTTTGGAACAAGGCGCAACGATGACGTTGATTGGCGGCGTTGACCTCCCCGCAACGGTCTCCTGGCACGATTCAGGATCGCCAAATGACTCGTGGCGTTGTAGTCCTGAGAATGGTGTTCCGGCACGCTTCAAGATGCTCACACGATTGTCCCCCTCCCTCAGTGGAAATGACGCCTTGGAGGGACGTGTGTATTTCAACATCGTTGATGAGAAGTGGGTTTACACTGGTCCTCCTCCTCCTCCTCCTCCTCCTCCTCCTCCACATCCTCCTCTTCATCATCCTCCTCCTCTTCCTGCACCTCCTCCTGATCCGCCTCCGCCTCCTCCTCCTCACCCTCCTCCTCCTCCGCCTCGTCGTCCTCCTCCTCCTCCTCCTCCTCCTCTTCCTCGGACCTCATCGTCACGCATTCTCGGCCTTCCTCGCTGCTCCTCTCCCTCCTCCTCCCCCTTCATCATCCTCCTCCTCATCATCCTCCCCATCCTGTTCCGAATCTTCGTTGTACGTGC